CGTCTAGTACCTGTGCACTAGAGAGAGACAGACAGAGAGAGAACACATCCCAATTTTAAATTCCTAAGTGATGGTGAATCTTTATAGGTGTTAAGCATGATTATTGCAGGCCTGGTGCAATAGCTCACGCCTATAATCCTAGCACTTTAGGAGGCCGAGGCAGGCGGATCACTTGAAGTCAGGAGTTGGAGACCAGCCTGGCCAATATGGTGAAACCCCGTCTCTACTAAAAATACAAAAATTAGCTGGGGGTGGTGGTGCAGACCTGTAATCCCAGCTACTCAGAAGGCTGAGGCAGGAGAATCACTTGAACCCGGCAGGCGGAGGTTGCAGTGAACTGAGATGGTGCCACTGCACTCCAGCCTGGGCAGCAGAGCGAGACTCCATCTCAAAAAAGAAAAAACGAATTATTATTGCACAATTACTTACACATAAGACTAGTATCACAACCATTAGGGCGTGGGATTTAAATTCTTCTTCTGGAAGCCTGCTTTTAACACCATTCCCCTGTGACAAGTTTCATGCTGGCAGCTGAGCTCGGGAACATACATGTGGAAGTCCTGAAGTGGTCAAGCTCACTGGTCCATGCAGTATATCCGATAACTCTCGCCTCTCTAATAACAGCTTTAAACAGTCCAATATGCCAGTGTTTCATTAAAATAAGCCACCAAACTGTATAGTGTGAAAAATGACAGTTCATGCATCATAGGAAAATGACCCACAGTAACGAGAGGGTTAAAGGCACGCGCATGCACGCGCACACACACGTGAATGCACACGGAAATGCTTTCTCAACACTTTTATATGAGAATTACCTTTTATGAAAGAAGGTGTAAATACTCTTAGTAGTTGAGTACTGTGCAACCTACCGAAAGCACACACTCAGACAAACAAACGGGCACATTCCCATTGCTATAGAGACAGAGGGCAGTCTGCAGAGCCCTGGATTAGCAGGCGGCTCAGTGGCTACCCTCACACGATCACAGGCAACTTAGGGAATGGCTCATCTCAGTTTTCTCCTTGGTGAAATGGAGATAATACCATTCAACCTGAAGGGCTGTTGCAGAAACTAAATAAATTAATATATGGAATAGAAAGCCCTACCACGGGGCCTGGCACATAGAAGGTACTTTATAGTATCAGAAAAGTCATTACTTAAAATGCCCACTTATCATTAAAAAAAAAAAAAAAACCCCTTTTGTTCCTGGTTTCACATAACAATATTCAAATTCACAATCTGGAATCTGAGGCTTTTCATACATATAAATGGGGCACTGTCTCATCCTTCTGACAAGGCACCTGCGGCCTGCAGTCAGTCTCTACAGCTAAGGAGGCTGGTAGGGCCCAACCACATGGCCAGGCACAGAAGCCCTCCTCCTGTTATTTGAATGAGTACCTCCATCACACCCCATTTCCCAGCGGTTTCACCCTCAGTTTTGGAGCACTCTCTCTATGGCTACTTACTTTCTGTCCCCAGATAGGCAGAGCGCTCTCTCTCTCTCTCTCTCTCTCTCTGTTTTAGACAGGGTCTCACTCTATCACCCAGGCTGGAGCGCAGTGACATGATCACAGCTCACTGCAGCCTCGAACTCCTGGCCTTAAGCAATCCTTCTATCTCAGCCTCCCGAGTGGCTGGGACTACAGGTGTTCACCACTGTACCTTGCTATTTTTAAAAAAAAATTTTTATAGTGATGGGGTCACACTATGTTGCCTAGGCTAATCTCAAACTCTTGGGCTCAAGTGATCCTCCCGCCTCGGCCTCCCAAAATGTTGGGATTACAGGCATGAGCCACCCTGCCTGGCCCAGAGTTCTCTCTAAGTAATTATTTACCTGCTTGGCTACTATCTAACTCCTTTTTTCCCATCAGAGCCTTTTTCCCATCATATCGTTTTCTGCATAACTAAGTTTCTTCATGACTCACTCCCTCAATCTCACACAAATTACAATGCCTGCACCCCACTGACCTGAATAGTCTCTTTCCGCAGAAACGATTGCTTCCTGCTCACTAACCCATGGCTTTTCTGGAGCCTGAAGCCTCCAGGACTTCTCCTGAGTCTCTAAGATGGGGTTTCCTCTACCAATATCTTTGCTTCACTCTCTCTCCTTGCCTGGCTCTTCCTCTTCCTTCCCCTCCACTGTTCCTAAGAACTCAGCTCTGCTCAACCATGTCAAGGTCTCAATGACGCCAACCTGTCTGTCACTCTCAACTGCAGAATTGCGTTCCTATCTCCAGCATCGCAGCCAACCTCCAGCCCTGTACTTCCAACACTGCTCACAAATTATCCCTCAGTCACTCTAGGGTGAGTTTCTGAAGAACCTTCTTTTCCAGCCTGGGCAACATAGTGAGACCTCATCCCTAAAAAAATAAAAATAAAAAACTAGCAGGATGCAGTGACTTGTGCTTGTAATCCCAGCTACTCAGGAGGCTGAGCTGGGAGGATCGCTTGAGCCCGAGAGTTAGAGGTTGCAGTGAACTATGATGGTGCCACTGCACCCCAGCCTGGGTGACACGGTGAGACCCTGTCTCTAAAAAACAATAATAATAAAAAACTCAACTTTCCTTCCACAGGTCCCAGGTGACTCAGGCTTCCAGATTCCTCAGAAAAAAACTGAGCAATTCCATGTGAAACAGCCATTCCTCCTTGTTAAGTATAAAAAGAAAGCTCCTTTCTTTGTCTTCATTCATCCACCAATTCTCCAAACTTAGGGGCCGGACACGGTGGCTCACGCTTATAATCCTAGTACTTTAGCAGGCTGAGGCGGGCCAATTGCCTGAGCTCAAGTTCGAGACCAGCCTGGCCAACATGTTGAAACCCTGTCTCTACTAAAAATACAAAAAAAAAAAAAAAAAAAAAAAAGCTGGACATGGTGGCATGCACCTGTAGTCCCAGCTACTCGGGAGGCTGAGGAATGAGAATTGCTTGAACACAGGAGGCAGAGGTTGCAGTGAGCCAAGATCACGCCACTGCATCCCAGCCTGGGTGACATGGTAAGACTCTGTCTCAAAACAAAACAAACAAAAAAGAAACCTTAGGAAGCATTCCTCAGTTGAAAAATAAGGTAAACCATTCAGTCCCATCCCTAAAGATACTGAAAAAGGTTAAGACTGAATTTACTGCTGAAACTAAGGTCAAGATTTTCAAGTTCATCAACTCAGTCTGTCTTTGTTTCTTAAACTTCACATTTACAGTACAGTACTTAAAATGTAAAAATGCACTTGAATTGTTTACATGGTTATTACTGAAGAAAAACACCCAGGTCACTTATTTTGGCTTCGTTTAATAAAACAACAGAAACATCTGTCATTTTTTGTAACAATTCTGTTGTCCTACTCACTGGGTGGCAAAAATGCACTCCCACTGCCTTGCATTAACCTGCTAATCTGGAGGCGATTCACTCCCCACTGACAACCAAGTTTCACTGAGTTTTGGTCAAATAGAACAATTAAATCATCCTTTGGTTTTCCAAGCAGCTGGAATAATTTGAGAAAACAAAAAACAAGCCATCTTTTAAACAAAAATGCATTACCTCCCGAAATGAAAAATTCATTTATCTCCAAATTGTCACCAGTAAGTTTTACGGTTATAGCAAGCCACAACATGCAGTTCTTGTATAAGATGAATAAAATATTACTGACTAATAACTCAATTCTAATTTTAAACAAATGCATTCAAACGGAGTTGAATACTTAATTTGTATCACTCCCACAAGGTATAAAAACCTTGCTTGGTTCTGATGTCACTGACTGCTGGCCATAGATGATGAGGTCTCAATCTTCCTAAGAGATTAAGGTCAGATGATAGTACCTTCTCTCTCTGACAATGTATCCAACTCAAAGAGACAGCCTAGCTGGGCATTCAATTTCAGCATTTTCCAGTGTACATTAGGAAGTGGGGACCTCGTCTAAGTTTCTGTTTTGCTTTGTTTTTGCCAAGCAGGAATTAGCTGAACCCTGTTGGCAGCTCCTCCAGCAGCCCACGTGGGGGAGACCCAGCGACCACTTCCCACAGGACTTCAGGCTCATGTACTGTTCTCTGGAATAAGGTTTCCTGCAGTACAAATTCCAGTCTGTCCCTTGGTTTGGCCAAAGACAGATCCGCCTACTGACTATTCTCTGCTATAATGACAACTGTGCTCTAACACAAACAACTTATTCTTAGTGGGAAACAATTAATTTCAGCCATCCCATGTGCTCCTCAACAGCCATTTATTCACATTGGCCCATCTTCCGATATCAGACTGACACAAAACCCCAAAGTCTTGCCCGATGACAATGGAATGAGTGTCATGTATTTAGCGGCATTTGTACTTTATTGCATTGCTTCCTGCTTGTTTGTTTAAGATGGTGAAATCTTTATAAGCAAAGAGATGATTAATTCTTCCCCGTCTTTAACGGCCATTCTCTTCCACAATCTCTAGCGAATCTCCGAATCTAAGTTGCGGGGAGGTATGTTGGGGAACCACACTTTTAAGCAGTGTTCCTGAGGTTTTAGCTCAGACATCTTACAAGATTGGAAGATTCCGTTTTATGGGGACATATGGACAGAACTCACTTGTTTTAGAGCACTACTTAGCCAAACCTCTCAGCGAATCCTACATTGAAAAGTCTTTAGCAGTATACATTTTGGAATCTTCTGTGTGCCCCAGAACACACAATATGGATCTAATTAGATTCAGCTGTCTTATGTTAGAAACAAACATTGAAAGGAAAAAAACAGAAGTGGAAGTGGGAGCTTTGTTCATCCTCTCGCATGCCCCCGCGACCCCACACTCCCAAGGCGTGCGCATCCTACCCGCTCACTCGGGCAGCACACGCTCCCTAAACACCCCAGCGTGGCCCGTGCCCCGCGCAGCGCTCTGAGCGCTTTTCCGCTGCTGGGTTTTCACCGGATCTGGAAGAGATTTACGGGAGGACTGGAGCCCAGCGCGGCAACCCCACCCCACCCCCACCGCCCCGGCCCGGGCGCGCCCCGCCCGCTCCCCGGCTCCAGGACTTACACCAGCGCGGACGGACAGGGCATCTGGTTCCAGGCACAGTTGTACTGAGCCTGAATAAAACTCTCACTTCCCTCCAGCACAGAGCAGCTCACATTCTTGTTCACGATGTAGGCGCACCAGTTCCTGGGGTGCAGGAGAGAGAGGGAGAAGGGCACGGTGTAAACCTGGAGAACAATGAGGCCAGGGGAGAGGGGACGGCAGCCCCAGACCGAGCAAGGGTCGGGGGGAGGGCCGTCGCCCTCTGCGGAGGCGGGAGCTTCCCAGAGCAGACGCCGGAGGGTGCCCGGGTGCGCCTCTGGAGAGCGCGCGCCTGGACCCGACGAAGACGGGAAAGAAAAGTACTCACGGTCCCAGGGGCCGTGGAATTCCTGGGAGTCGTTTTCGGACCACCCGGGTCTGCGGGACACTCTGCGCCCACGCCCCCGGAGTCAGCTCTGCCTGAGGCGCCGGCGGCGCAGCGCGCGGTCACCCAGAGAAGGAGCCGCCCGGGGAAATCCAAGGGAGACCCCCGGCTGCCGCTTGTCGTCTTTGGCAGGGCAGCTCCAGGGCTCGACTGGGGGCCGGGGAGGGGTAGGCGGTTTGGGGCCAGCAGAGGGGCGCGCACTTACTTGTTCCTAGCGCTGGGCCGCGCGGGATACCCGGGCTGCGGGCCGGCATGGCACAGCCCCGCGCAGCCCAGGGCCAGCAGCACCAGCGCCCAGCGCCAGGGCGCGCGGGGCCAGGGCTGTGTCGGCTGCCACATCCTGCGCGCAGCGGGCGCTTCCCGCCTGCCCGGGTCCGGAGCGCGGCGGATCGGGGCACCGGCCACAAGGCTGCTGGCGGCCAGGGCGCCGCCCGCGAAGGCAGAAGGCTCGGGCGCTTCGCGGCGCTCCAACCCGCGCTCTGCGGCCGCCCCCTCCGGCTTCTCGTTCCTACTTCTCCTTTTGCAGCCCCGTGCGCCCTGCGCTTCTCCTCGGTCCCTCAATGACGCACAGGTCCCCCCGGGTGCCGCCCTCTTTATTTCACTTCCCTCTCCGAAACGTGACTCTCCCTCCACCACGTCTCCCTGTCTCCAGTCCCTTCGCTTCTCGGCAGGGGGCTTGGGGTGGAAGAACTAAAGGGTTTGGGATAAGGGTCTATGTTACAGAATTTCCAATTACTCATTCCTTTGGTCTCTTCCCAGATGCCGAGCAACTCCGCCTCCCACCTTCCAACAGGCGCGCTCCCGGCCCCTCGGGACGCTGCCGCAGTCGGCGAGTCTGGCTGTCCTCGCGTCGTGCCTGGGTGCCAGCCTCCCGGGGCGAATGAGGGACACGTTTATCAGTCCCGCGGGGAGAGGAGTGGGGGCTCGACTCGGATTTCCTCCTCGGGCAAGACACGGCCATTCCCCCACCACCTCCATGGACTTACAGAGTCCGGGGGAAATGAACGCTGGTTCTCTTCTTTCTTTACCCGTCTCTGCCTTAGGAATCATCTACAGTCCACGTGGGGGGCGGCAGGACAGGACAAGTCACAGCCCCACCAATTCCCAGTGGCTGCTGCAGTTCGGGGTCCAGCTCTACAGTTCTTGAAAGTTGATCTCACAGCCTCTGCTGCTGAGGTCCTACTGTGAACTTTCTTTTTCTATTGAAACTAAGGCATTTACTCACCTTTGCTTCTCAACAGTTCAGGCACTGCTAGACATCTGTCTTAAACTTTCTTGTATGTTTTCTGCCTATTCTTGAGTTACACTAATCTCCACCAATTTCTTTTTGGGATGAAGTACTGGAATGTTAAATAAAATCACCACCCAAGTGCTGTATTCTAAGGGATGTTGGAAAGAGCTATGTATTTGAGATGACCTGCTGCATCTAATTAATGTACAGGGTCGTGAGTGACATGATTACCAGACTCCACAGATAAACTGTGGCCTCTGTGAGCTAACCAGACGCTGTTGGCCATGACTTGTTAAGTGAATAAAGCTTTGCTGTGGGCCAGGCGGGGTGGCTCAGGCCTGTAATCCCAGCACTTTGGGAGGCCAAGGCGGGTGGATCACCTGAGGTCAGGAGTTCAAGACCAGCCTAACCAACATGGTGAAACCCCGTCTCTACTAAAAATACAAAAAAAAAAAAAAATTAGCCGGGCATGGTGGCACATGCCTGTAATCCCAGCTACTTGGGAGACTGAGGCAGGAGAATCGCTTGAACCAGGGAGATGGAGGTTGCAGTGAGCCGAGATCTCACCACTGCACTCCAGCCTGGGCAAAAAGAGTGAAAATCCGTCTCAAAAAATAAAAAATAAAAACGTTTCCTGTGTTCCTACTCTACTAAATGAAGCCATTGGTCTATTTTGTTTCTAATATTCTTTGATGGTGTTGTTGGACCTTCTGATTTGCAGATGAAAGAAAGAAAAGTCCCTAAGCAGAAACTACAAGGGCCGAGCAGAAGATTATACCATGTAAGGACATCATCTGTCCCTGGACTCTAAACGGAAGATCATGCAAATAGTGGACTGAAGTCATCCCAGCCTTCAAAAGAGCCACCGTCGGGGGGAAATAACAGAAAGGGATAAAAAGCTGTCTTTCGTAACCCAATCTGTATCTTTCTGTGTGACTTCCCTATCCTGCCTGTCCTAACGCCCTCTCGACGGTAAACACTCATAGAGTAGAAACAGAGCATAGAAATGAAGAAGAGGAAGAGGGGGAAAAAATGGAGGAAACACACAAGTTGTGTGTGTCTACAACTAGCAGAGAACAACTCCAATGTGTCTCTGATACAGGTAAATCTCAGACTTGAAAGTGCGTTGAGCTGATCAAGTCAATCTGTTTTTTCTGTCAAATCAAAGTTATACTAGGAAGTTGTCCAAGAGTATAAGGACCAACTTTTCATTGAGATGACCACAGTACTATATTTAATCAGCTATCAATAGCATGTATCGGTAAATAAATTTCATTCTGAGCATCTGTTACAAGCTAGGCATTGTGCAAAAATACTGAGGATTCATGAGTGAGCCCACACTGACACGGGGTCTGTGTTTGGAGGGCTTCCAGGCACTGCCATGCAATGAAGGGTGTTAGAGTTCCTGGACAGTCAACTAAGTGAGCTAATGTTTATTGCACGTCTTTCTCCAGACACAAGCCCATGTATGTTTTTGTGGGCCTGCCCTGGGAAGACAGAAAATTCTTGACTTTCAGAAGGTTACTTCCCTCTTTTGTATTTTTATTTATTTATTTATTTATTTATTTATTTGGGGGAAAGGGTCTCACTCTGTCACCCATGCTGGAGTCCAGTGGCGTGATCATGGCTCACTGCAGCCTCAAGCTCCCATGCTCAAGCAATCCTCCCACCGTAGCCTCCCGCGTAGCTGAGACCACAGGTGTGTGCCATCACACTCAGCTAATTTTTTGAATTTTTGGTAGAAATGGGATCTCATCATGTTGCCCAGGCTGGTCTTGAATGCTTAATCTCAAGCCATCCTCCTGCCTTGGCTTTTTAAAGTGCTGGGATTTCAGGCATGAGCCACTGTGCCTGGCCTATTATTCTCTTCTTTTACTTTTTTGGGTTTTTTTTTCTCTTGAGATGGAGTCTTGCTCTCTCATTCAGGCTGGAGTACAGTGGTGCAATCATGGCTCACTGCAGCCTTGATATCCCTGGGCTCAAGCAATCCTCCTGCCTCAGACTTCTGAATAGCTGGGACTACGGGCACACACCACCATACCAGGCTGACTTTTTGTACGCCATCATAGCTCACTATAGCCTGCAACTCCTGGGCTCAAGTGATCCTCCTACTTCAGTCTTCTAAGCAGCTAGGAGTACAGATACACACCACCATGCCCAGCTAATTTTTTATTTTTTGTAGAGATAGGGGGGTCTCACTTGGTTGCCCAGGTTGATCTTGAACTCCTGGTTTCAAGCAGTCCTCCTGCCTTCGTCTCCTAAAGTCTTGGGATTACAGGTGTTAGCCACTGTGCCCAGCCGCAAGGTTATTTCTTGATTTGAGGCCAAGATCCCAAGAGACCCTCTTTCTTTTCTCTTTTCCAGCTGGAGGAAGGGATGCAACAAACTCAGGAACCAAAATGCCTTGCACAAGAAACAAGACAGAGGGAAGCTTCTGGAGGATAGAGAGCTTCAGGAGGATAGAGAGCTTCAGCACATTAAGAAACGGACTAATTGGGCAGGACTTCTGATCCCTGCCGTGAACAATGATGTGGATATGCTGCCAGAAAGCTGCAGGTATGAACTGTTTCCATGCTGCCAACTACCTTAAATGAGCACTTGAAAACTATGTTTTCTATAACAATCTGAAGGAATTTCTTCTGCTTTGGAAACAAGTGTCCCATAGTAACCTGGGACACACACCCTTGATTGTGTGACCAACTTACCTAAAGCAAAAATTCAAGGAAGAACTACTTCATTATGAATGGGTCATTCATACAATCCATTCTCTCGTTCACTTGTGGATCATGACATAAGCTGTTCATCAGGCTCTGTGCGTGCTTAGGGATGGTTTTCTTGGAAGCGGTGAGCCTCTCGGGCCTCCAGCACACCCAGGTGCCCCCTCCACCCCTCCATTGCCTGTTGGAAAAGGAGGGTGACTATCACTGAGGCAGCAGGCAAATACATTTCCCCTAGCCCCACCCCAGCCATCTGCGCAGGGACATTTGATCAAGATGAACAGATTTGCATCTAGGATGTGGTCAAGAATCATGAGATTAGCCTGGGCTTTCCGCCCTTCTGATCCCTCATCTGTTTTTGTTTTGTTTTGTTTTGTTTTTGGATCTAGGGTCTTGCTCTGTCACCCAGGCTGAAATGCAGTGGTGCTACCATGGCTCCCTGCAGCCTCCACCTCTCAGGCTCAAGCAATCCTCCTACCTCAGCCTCCTGAATAGCTGGGACTACAGGCACATGCCACCTCATCTGGCTAATTTTTTTCAATTTTTTTGTAGAGATGGGTGTCTCACTATGTTGTCAGGCTGGTCTTGGACTCGTGCGCTCAGGCGACCCTCCCGCCTTGGCTCTTTACTTTCTGGAGTTCAAAAAAACTGTTCCCTGGATTTCTAGTGTACTTTTAGGTATCTTTATTGCTTCCTAGTTCTGCTTAGTTAATGATGGAAAAAGAAAGTTCTTGAAGACTAGATATCTTGAATAAAAGACATCCTTCATTCTTTTAAAAACAATGCAGTTTAATAGGGAAAGAGAAATATCCCCGAGAACAAATGAACTGGCTGCCGCATCTGGCCTGCTCTGCCAGGGGTGGGCGATACCATTTTGTTTAGCTTCATTTGAAATAGGCATTGTGTTGGAGAGGGACCTTCAGAACAATTTTTTTTCTTTTCTTTTTGAGATAGTGTCTGGGTCTGTCACCCAGGCTGGAGTGCAGTGGTACAATCAGGGCTCACTGCAGCCTTGACCTCTTGGGCTCAGGTGATCCTCCCACCTCAGCCTCCTGAGTAGCTGGGACTACAGGTGCTCACTACCATACCGAGCTAGTTTTTGTATTTTCAGTAGAGACAGGGTTTCCCCATGTTGCCCAGGCAGGTCTGGAACTCCTGAGATCAAGCAATTCACCTGCTTCGACCTCCCAAGTGCTGGGATTATAGGCACGAGCCACTGCACCAGCCCCAGAACAAATTCAGTGAGACTCCAGACTTCAACATTTATAAATAACAGCTGCTTTCTTGTCAAAGGCTTTGACCAAACAAATCAAATCAAAACAAAGAACACTTGCCCTCTTCAGTTTTTCTTAACTTACTTATTTGTAAATATCTCCTTTGCTATACAAAGCTAAGGAGTCAAAAATCTCCTTATCCTTTGAACCTAAGACAGACCTTATCAACTGACTGATTAGATGACACTCTTAACGACTATGGCCGTTATTTTAATCATCTTTCGTGAGAGATGCCAGGAGGAAATGTTTCTACGTTGATTAGGGGCGTGGGCCTTAATACATTGTACACTATCACCTGAGAGTTTCAAAACTGAAAAATTGAGATCACATGGAAAAAAAGGGTTTTCGGAATTCATGCAGTAGCGTTAGTGTGCTGTTCAAAATACGGCACCCTCACCCATTAGCTGAATGATCTTGGACAAGCAATACACCCTTCTATGCTCCATGTTCTCCTCTGAAAATTGGAATCACTCATCTGGCTGTGGGGAGGATTCATTGGATTGCCAGATGTAAACTGTTAGCATCGTGCC